GGTGGATTTGAAGAACGTATAACCACCTACAAATGACTGATGTTCCCAGGTCCACCCTAACCTGAAGTGGTAGCACCTGTTATGGTCCCTGCCACGGGCAGATAGTGACCTCACAAACAAGAACAAAAAACTATGGAAGTATAACACATGTTTATAAATAAAAATACCAGTAATGTGTTTTTATATTTAAAAAAATGGTCAACGGTACCTATTTCTAGCAGAATTGCTAAGAATACCTATCTATACGTAGTTGAAGCCATAGGATTATGTTCAAAATTTTTAGATTTCAGCATTTAAGACCCAAAGGGGATGATATTCCGCTAAACAATATCAACACCAGATTACGTTGTTTTGATGCGGCAATATTTATAAATTTTCTTAAACTGTAATCTATTTTTGTTCAATAAAATGTAATAAAAAAGGGTGTTAATTTTGCTGCATCCTTTATTAAGCATAGATATTTACCCTATAAGACAAATGGTAAAAGAAGCGGTGAGGTTGTTTATGCTACGCCAATATTCCTGTTTTGTTTTTGGTTTTGGGGTTTTTTTTGTAGCGAAACCGAAAGGAAATTTGAACTCGGGTCTCCTATTTCTCATATTCATCCATTACACCAACCGCACATCCTACAGGGTGAGGAAGAGAAATCGAGAATTGCCACTGAAGGATATCAGACGAGACCGGAACGCCCAGATTGTCTTCAATTGCAGCCGCTGGAGCTGGAACCTGTCACACACGTCAGGACAGCGACAACTAACGCAACACTAGGCCTGGACCTACTGAAGCAAAACTACGCAGGCATAGGTCCATAGATTCAAACTACTTGCAAATGCATTAGTCAATAATAATTGTAGTTGTATACATTTAATATTATGTCCTGAGATTTATCGTGGAGTAATGGCGGCTTGGATTGAGGAAACAGAGATCCAAGTTCGGAGCCGTTACATTCACTTACGTGCTAATACCCTTGGGAAAGGTATGAATCATCTCCTTCTCCCGGCAGCTATAGTTAAATAGCAGAATAGACATCGGTGGCAACTGGTCTAGGAGAATGAAAACACTCAATTCAAAACTAGCCTGGAAGCAAAATTGAGAGGGATTCTGGAGTGACCTCCCCCAAGATAGTTAGGGGAAGATCACTCCGAAATATAACCTTCATCCTTGCACATCACTTATCTCGTGGTAGCCTTTGCACCAGAAAGAAGATGGTGAGCATTGAACAAGAGAGATGGACTGGGAATGCACAAACGTTTCGGACTTAAATAAAATTCAGGCGGGTGCAGGTCATTCTACGACATTAGATGCATTTTCTACTCTCAAGAAAAGGACGCATCGGTAATGTGCCGATGTGTTGGCTCACGACGCTGGAATCCATGCATATATATATATATATATATATATATATATATATATATATATATATATTTTCTTGTCTTTTATTCATTTTTTTCATTTACAGAAACACTTTTTGAAAATAATTTACAATATATATATATATATATATATATATATATTATAAATTATTTTGAAAAAGTGTTTCTGTAAATGAAAAAATGAATAAAAATACAAGAAAAATATTCTTAGTCGATGCGTTTCGTTCTCTGAGGACGTAAGATTTATTTTGCTGCATGTGTTTATATACAAGAGCAATGATGTCATTGGATTATCAAGGCTTTTAAATCTGAGAATGTTCATGAGTATTCATCAAGTGGTTGAAAGGTCAGTCAAATAATGTGGAAGACACAAAGTGCCATAATCGGAGGGCCGAGTCTGAATTTCAGTAGGATCCATTATATTCACTTACATGCTAATAACATTGGGAAATGTATGAATCCTCTTCTTCTTTCCCCAGCTATGGATAAAAAAGCAGAACAGACTGGGTTCTATAGCCTTGGATGGCAACTGTTCTAGGAGAAGGAAAACTGAATTCAAAACCAGCCTGGAGGCAAACTTGATGTGCAAATAGACTGTCTTGCAAGGCTCCAAAGCCACTATCTAGGGGGAGGTCACTCCGAAATATAACCTGGATCCTTGCTCGTCGCTTATCTCGTAGTAGCCTTTGTATGAGAAAGTAGATGGAGAGTATTGGACAAGAGAGTGGGACTAGGAATGCACAAATCTTTCTCACTTAAATAAACTTCAGGTGGAGTTCATTCTACGACACTAAAAGAAGCTTCTACTCTTACGAAAGGACCCATGGGTAATGTGTTGATAGAATGCTCATGCATCGGCTCACGACGCGAGAATCCATGCACGTATGCCCTGAGAATATCATATAAATTTTCAGTTTAACACCGTGTCAGGATATATATATATATATATATATATATATATATATATATATATATATATATATGTATCTATGTATATGCAGGGTGTCCATAAAGTTCGTGTGCACTTTAAAAAATTTATAACTTTATTTGTATTTGCAATAGAAATAATTTGTAAAAAGGATTCGAAAGAAGTAAATCTATATTTTGTAAGGTTTTATTGAAATTTTATTTAAGTTCCCACATGTCCTCCATCATTAGCATTACAAAGGGTAATACGATTTTGCAGTTCACTGCAAACATTTGCCAACTGATTACTAATAATGCCTCAAATCTCATTAGTTATTTTAGCTATACTTAAAACTAAGTACATTAAACTTTACAACATTTTTACAGATTATTTCTATCGCAAATACAAATAATGTTATAATTTTTTATAGTGCACACGAAATTTATGGACGCCCTGTATATTGATCCTTCTTTATGTAGACGACGGAATGTGTGACACAGATGAATTAGAACAGAGAAATATTCCTCCCAGAAACTCAGTTAAGTGTTATACGTGACAACACGCCTGAGCGATCGTGTTTCGATTCAAGACTGTGTCGACAGGTGATTTTACCGCGTTAGGTTAACGTTTTGTTGTTGTTGTTTGTTTTTTTTTTTTTTGTTTTGTTTTTTTCTAGGGAATATCCGTTGACAAAGACAAATCTGTCCTGTTATTTAACCCATACCTGTGGTGGAAAAGAGACAGATTGATACTTTTCCCAACGTTTATCTGTGAGTAAATGAATGTAAATAACCAGACTGAAATTGGAATCCAGCACGCCGATTTCTCCTTCCAGAAATTAAGGAAGATATTTAGACACGGCACTATTTCGATAGAGATATAGAAAAAATGCCAAGCGGTTTTCATTTCTGTAGTGTGAATGCTGGACAATTTCCTTACAGATAATGATGAGACTTGAAACGATAGAACGATGATTCTACGAATGGATGAAGAGAATCACATTTTTTTTAATTCTGAAAAAGAGAGAAAACAAACAAAGTAATCACTTCAGAAAGTGAATACAAATCCTGAATCAATAACGATGCCAAGTAACTTTAAACCGAACCGTTTTGAAGAATCACAAGTGCGAAGTATTTATTCAAAGAAACAATAGTTCTTTAGCATGGACACTGGTTGACAGCATAAAATGCATAAGAATTTTTTGAGAAAATTGACTTTAGGGCCAAATTAAAAATAATCAATATTCATTGTCACTTTCTTGAACGAGTTGCTTTTCGAGACAAGTTTAGACATTTACATAGCAAAAGAAGTCAGACTTGCTCGAGGAACGAGGAGAGCGCGGCGGTCGCCATAACCTGCCGTTGAGCGCGTATGACAGGCCTCCGCCCGAGCCTGGACGGCCAGCCTCCGTCCGAGCCCGGACGGCCAGCCTCCGCCCAAGCCCGGACGGGCAGTCTCCTCAAGCCAGCCAGCCAGCCAGTATTCATTCGCCGTTGTCAGACGAGCGTCGTGCGCGTCGGCCGAGCCGTCCTTCGACACAAACCCTCACTGCGCGTAAAGCAGGCCGCCGGGGCGGGGACGGTCAGCCTCCGCAGCTCAGCCAGCCGGTGTTCATTTGCCGTCGCCGGACGCGCGTCGTGCGCCTCGGCAGTGGTCAGCGACAAAACTTTACGAAGTGCTGACTTTCGATATTTTGGAAAAAATTTAAAAAATAAAATTCGAAAACGAAATTAACACGCGTTTCCACTAAGAATTATGATTTATTTATTAGAAATATTCAAATTGAAATAAATCTATTAACTCTCACTCTATCTTTATAAATATATAATTATATATATATATATATATATATTGTCATCCACAGACAGACAGTTTCGCTGTATCACAGCTCATCAGTGTGGCTAAATGTCCGATCGAAATATATATATATATATATATATATATATGTGTGTGTGTGTGTGTGTGTGTGTGTGTGTGTAATAAAGTTAATTGGTAATCCGAATGGATAATTCCAGGGAGGATATAAATCCTGAGGGCTCAATATAATGAACAGGGCAAGTAATAATTAATTAATTAACAAATTGGAGACTTCCGAAAGCCATGCTAATATTTTATATTTCGCAAGACCGATAAAATTCGGTTTCGCTTCGTCAGAATTTTCGGTTTCAAAACAATGACTGGATTCAAAAATTCTTTCAGGAATCAACCGAAAAACGAAATGAAAAAAAAAAAAAAGTAAGATTAGCCGAAGTTGTGTTATAAGGAATTTACATAGAGTCGGAAGAGGGAGAGGAAGGTATATAAGCAATAGTAAATAGGAATATTGTCTCGTTGTATTTGTTTTTCTTCTTCTCCTTCTTTCTCTCTCTTTCTCAAACACGCGCGTGCGTGCGTGCGAATACACACACACGCTGATACGCGCGCGCGCACGCACACACACACACACACACACACACACTAACTATATCTATCGGTTGAAGCATATAGGGACAGATGATCGAATTCCAACTCTCCCCAATCATTACCTGGTACCAATCTATTGCTCTGGGCCAAATTTCCACTTGACCCTTGCAATACGTTCATTCCGAGCTTGGCCCGTGTGACTCCAGCCAGTGATAAACTTATGTTATGAAGCTTGGATGGAGAACGACATAATATAAATCAAGGAAATGGTAACAATGTGTAACTATTAAGAAGGACGTTGAAATTTCGTGACATTTTTATGCTACAACATTGATAGAGAGAGAGAGAGAGAAAGAGAGAGAGAGAGAGAAATAATTAGATAAAGGTCTATTGACGTGTTTCGTTTGACTCGGGGGACACATCATAAGTGCTATAATATTTTTTCAATAATTTGGCGCCTGGTGTTATTATACATCTTTTTCAGCCATCTTGACAGCATAAGGTTGATTGGAGTTATAATATGCAATGCAGTAAAAGAAATGCATAATTGTAACTGAGTGAGTATATTAATTTACTTTGAGAGATATGAATGAAGTGTATACTGTTAAGATGATTAATACTCAGGTTTCGGTCCTAGCTAGACGCAACAGGACATCGAGCCACACTAACGAGCTGTGATACAGCAAAACAGTCTGCCTGTGGATGGACAATATATATATATATATATATATATAGATAGATAGATAGATAGAACACTTCAGTATACGGTTTCCTATGGACAAATACATCGTATAAATTTACAACAGATCTTGTACATCTTTCAACAGTCTCCAGAATTTTCAGGTTTTGCACTCTGTCATATTTTCATCTATATGTGTACAGATTGCACTAAATTTTCACACCTGACAAGTGAACCTACGTGATAGTGTGGTTCATGTGTGACCAATGCAAGAATTTAGTGTTGTTTGTTGATTCTTCCAATGGACATAAGAATTCAGAAAAAACATTACTTTTTTTTTTAACATAGAATTGACGTTTTGAATTTTTAATGATAAATCTAAGGTATTTGTTAGAATCAATACCTGTTCAATGCGGGGAGATTATAATTAAATACCCTTTTGGCCTTGTTTATCATTATGATGCATCTGCTTGCTTTGATTTGGTTTATTCTTCTCTATCCTTTCCCCCCGCCCATTAGAATGTCTGACCCTCAACTCCAAGAAAGCACCTCTTTGCGACTGCTCGGTTTCACATTGTCTGCTGATCTGAAATGAAACAATTACATTGAGTCACTAGTTTCGTCCAGTATTGCTGCCCTATATAGTCTGGAGCCACTTCTGTTTGTCTCAAGCTCCATGATAAAATCCAAAGACGGATATGCAATGTAATTGGCTCTGATCTGGCATTTCTGCAGTCGCAGACGTGCCGTTGCTTCCCTCTGTCTTTTTTACAAATACTTTCACGGTAACTGCTCTAATGAGCTGCTTTTGCTGGTTCATGCATTTAAGCGTTTAACTAGGCTGGCATCGCACTTCTCACCTGTGGAACTCCCTCCCCATTTCTTGTTGCACTGATAGCCATAATCTCCAACTATTCAAATATAATGTTAATCGACGTCTCCAGATGCCTTGATCTATCCCTATACTTCTCTTCATCCTTTACTCTATTAATCCTCTTTGCTCTCGCCCCAACTCTCCTTGCGTGCTAGTGGTTTTCTGCCTTGCTTGGGGTCACTCGCTTAATATATATATATATATATATATATATATATATAATGAACAAGAATTATTGCGTCGTGACATCGCACACTCCAAAATAATATAACTGTCAATAAATAGTATATTTTTAAAAAAAAATATCTTGCAGTCTACAATAAACATGTTTTGTCTTAGTGTTTTACCTGTATATGGAAAAATTGCGCCGCGGAGATGACAATTTGAAATTGTTCAATGTACTTGGCTCGTTAAATCAATTTGACAACAACTCAAATATCGTATTATTCAAGTAATTAATATTAATTAATGTCTCATTAATTCTGTTAGCGAAGTGATTTCGCCATTAATCATATTAACATTGCTAATTAATTCTTTGTATATATTACTTATTATGATATAAAAGATAAGCTGCACACCCTAATATATATATAAGTATAGATATATATGTCTGTGTGGGTATGTGTATATGTGTAATTTAGAATTATTCGAAGTGCACCATTAATAGGAATGCGTATATGCTGATTAATCCTTTCCTTGAACCTCCAAGAGGTTTTAAAGAAGAATTGACCAATATATAACAGCCAACGTTCGAAAAGGTAATTTGGACAATTTGCCTTCATGAACAAAATTCATCTGGGCCGGAAATATCTGACCATTTATTATACACCCAGCAGCGTGTCAGATCCTATGACCAAAATGTTTTCCCGGTACCGAGGAAGACTCACTCTGATATAGACTCTATGGTTTTAGAGTCAATTTATATTAAGTCCTTCCAGCCATATCTTTGTTTGCATATAGAAGTTGATATTAGGTTTAAGTATAGTTAACGTTTGCAATTAAATTATATATATATATATATATATTAATGCATGTTTCTTTAAATATTATAGACAAGTTTTGTCTATTTATTTTAAGTAAGTTCCTTTCATATTGTCTGAGGAGATTAATCACATTATCGTTGAAAGACGAAAGGAAAACACCGTATTGATACATGTTTAAATCCAATCTAAACTTTCGGTTTACATAAGCCATTATTAAAGATGCCAATTTCAATAAATCAAACAACACACGGATGAAACAACAATGATAGTCTGCCCTTGCTGCTAGAAAATTTCAAAGAAACGACAAAGTAGTATGTACGAGGCGCGGAAGCGAAAATCGCATCACAGCACGTGACGTCACATATGACCACGCGATATATATATATATATATATATATATATATATATATATATATATATATATATAATAAATCCTAAAGTACCAGGAAAACCTACATAGGTTTAACCTAAACGGATCTTCAGGGTATGCTGAAAATATATATATATATATATATATATATATATATATTTTGTGCGATATATATATATATATATATATATATATATATATATATATATATATATAGACACTTTGTATTATTATAAATCATGGCGAATGAAATTTAATTTTGTTTTATTCTAACAAGCGCGCAGAGATACAACTTACCAACATTTAATTAACAGTCAATTTAAGTATTTTCTCTGGTACATTCATAAATGGAACATTTATATAAGGTTAAAATATATGCGTAGAAATTCGTCACTTCAATCCCAAATAATCCTAAATCTACTCTTTGAGATCGACACTTTACGAATTTAAGCGCTAGATTGACGGCAGGTTCTCATCATTTTACAAGGAGCTGTCCACCAAAATCAATTCACGCCAATGGCCTCTCTTTGATCCACAGCCATCTTCGCCAACGCCAGCATGGCGAGAGAAAGCAAATAGAAAAAAAAAAGATGATCATTACGTTGCACGGATGCAAGTGGTTGACGCCAGAAAAAATTAAAATAAGTTATAAACGTATTGGTTCAGCGCGGTAGGGTAATGACACATATTCCGGGGCCAACAAAGAACATTCACAGATTCTATGTTCACAATAATGCTCATAGCTTTACACGAGTTGTAAGCCGCTTACAAATAACATCCACAACATGGTGAATATATATATATATATATATATATATATATTTATATTGTTCTAAATACCATATGTCATTATGAAAAAAAACAAGATTCATTAATGTTTATTGTGAATTTCAAATTCAGAATCGTATCCTTCCGTCTCCAGAAAGTGATTAATGATAGCACGGACAATACTTACGCCCACTGGAACCAAAGATTCGCTAAATTTTACGAAAGACAAGAAACCCAGTGAAAAGAGATAAAAACATTGTCTGCGGTCTTCAGTAACACCTGCGTAAATAAGAAATGACGCTCATATATACATATATATATATATATATATATATATATAATTATTTTTATAAAAAAAATTATAAGTATGTTATAAAATCACTACAAAAATAGCCATTTTGTTTCAACACACTCTGTGTCTTATCAAGTGATTATGTTGAAAAGAAAATAAATGGTTTTAAAAGTATCAGATTAATTAACGATCCTACACTAGGGGGAAACATTGTTACAAAAGCTAGAAAAACCAATAAAAAACGAAGTATAGAAAGATTAAATTCGAATAAAGGAGCAAAATGTAAACTTAAAGGGAGATAATCACAAATGTTTCCCCCTAGTGTAGGATAGTTAATTAATCTGATACTTTTAAAACCATTTATTTTATTTTCAACACCATCACTTGATAAGACACAGAGTGTGTTGGAAACAAATGGCTATTTTTGTAGTGATTTTATAACATACTTATGTTATAATTTTTTTTTATAAAATAATTATATCTGCTCTACTTTTATTGAGCACTCTTTTAAGAATAGTAATTGTTGGTTATTGGAATTCATTCCGTATATACCAATTATATACTTTTGATATATATATATATATATATATATATATATATATATATATATATATATATATATATATATAAGTATTTGTTTTTATGTGTCGGGAGAAGTAAACAATATATAATTCTTTATCTATATATCAATAATAATTTCACTGGAAAGATGTATAAGAAATTGGAAAAGTTTTTCTCCTTTGGAACTTCACGGAGGACGTTTATGAATTACATTGTTGCAACTACACATGCGCACAAAGTAGGAAACGCTAAGAATTTTTTTTTTTAAATTTAATATATGTTTCGATTATATAATGTAGCCTATTTCATTTTGGTTTCTTTTCATTTTTGTTCATGCTTCCATCACTTTTCTTATTAAATATTGTGATAATAGGAAATCTGCTAAAAATGGTAAACCGTTGTAAGAACCTGGACGCAATTTACTGTGGACGATATAGCGATTAAAGCACTTTCTAAACATTTTCGTCTTAATAAATGGTTTTTCCCTTTTAATTAGAGTATCATTTTTTAAATCAAAACGTTGGTCAGATTAATTAATGTAAGTGTGGCACCCTGCATTATTAGAAAAACTAAAAAGAAATATTCCTAGAAATATGATTTAATTTTTATTCGGTTTATTAACCAGTTGTTAGTTATTTAGACGAAGAGTAATTAAGTTTTGAGAATATTTCTCTAATTGTATTTAGGCGATCCTAAGGGAAGAAGAAGAAAAGAAAAGGAGAGGAGGAGAAATAGATAAGCCGGTCATAAGCGAAAACAGGTGTCAAGAGATATCTAGGCCAACGCGCCTGACCGAATTTCAAGAACAATGGAAATTGTTATTTGAAAGAATAAGTTTAGAGATAATGAACGGACATGGTAAAAGTGGATGAACATACGTACGATTGATAAAAATATCGGTCAAAACATCTGGCCTACTTTTGTATCCACGGAATGTAGAAGCTCATTATCAATTTGGAGAAATGGGATTTTTAGAACAATGGAAAACGAAATATTAATAAAAAAAAAAGGTGTCTTTTGGGATGAGAAGGTGACCGCTGGAATTGTATACAGATCCTGACCTGTTGAAGATTAGAACCCCCACGATGATGAAGTGAATATATTTTCAAATTCAGATAATTAAGATTTTGACTGTCAGGCCTGAACGAAAATAAAGGAATGAAAACAATTGTTTTGGCTCACAGAAAGCGCCAGCGAGACGAGAAAAATTCTTCCTGAAGTCACATCTAATTAGCGGCGGGCTGTTTTGACAAAAACCAAAAGGTGAGAAAGGCCGAGATTGTCATTTTCGTGCGTGCGAAAAAAGGCCAAATTGGATTTTGTTTTTTTTAGCAAGGTGCTTCGTTCCCAGAACAAAGCCGGGATAGACCACGCCCGATTGGAGACGTCACGAAGGACGAGACACGCCCAACCAGAATCTCATTAGCCGAAAGCGGTCACGTGATATGCGAGAAAGAGGAGAAAGGACGCTCGACCAAGACCCATTGGTCGAAAACGGTCACCTGACATACGAGAGACCGGGAGAGATGGTATGCGCCTCCCCCAGAGGCACTGTGAGGAAGTAGGGGTGAAAATAAGAGCGATAATGGGAAATCAGAAATAATGCGACTTTTGGAATTATCAAGAAAACCCTGACGCCGACAGACCCACCCCAGTTGTTGCGGCGTCAATAAAAGCAGGACCCCAATCGACAGAAATCAGAGCTGCGGGGTAGACGGCCAGAGCAGTTGGAGAGCGGGCGGCGGGCCTTGTTCATTCGCCCCTTGCGGACAAGAAGGGTCGGTCCGTTTGGCCCGGACAGGCAGAGAAGTTGCAGCCAAGTCGAAGAGAAGAAAATTGCTCGAAAGCCGCAGAGAAGTTGGAGCAGAATTGCAGGCCAGACAAGCCGAAGAATTGCAGGCCAGATAAGCAGAAGAGCTGCAGGCCAGACAGGCCGAAGAATTGCAGGCCAGATAGGCAGAAGAGCTGCAGGCCAGACAGGCCGAAGAATTGCAGGCCAGATAGGCAGAAGAGCTGCAGGCCAGACAAGCAGGAGAATTGCAGGCCAGACAAGCAGAAGAGCTGCAGGCCAGACAAGCAGAAGAATTGCAGGCCAGACAGGCAGAAGAGTTGCAGGCCAGACAAGCAGTAAACTTGCAGGCCAAACAAGCAGAACAGTTCAGCCCCGGAAGGCAGAGAGAAGAGTTCACCTCAGACGGCAGAGAGAAGAGTTCGGACCTTGGCGAGAAGAGTTGCAGGACGGACAAAGAAGAAGATACTTGCAGTTGCGCATAGAAGAAGTTGAAATCAAACCAAGCCTAAAAACAGAGATTCGTCCAATCCAAATCGAAGTGAAGAAATACGTCCAACTCAAGCCGAAGTGAATAAGCTCGTCCAACTCAAGCCGAAGAGAAGAATCAGTCGTGAACGACTGGTAGAGATTAACGCCCAGTGTCGAAACCAAACCACACTCCGACATACAAAATTCTAGAGAGTAGGCAACTCGAAGTCTTTAAATTGTATGGTAAAAGCTTGGTGCCACAGTCCACAAAACGGGTCGGGAAGTAAGGATAATTTTTATGTAACGAACATTAGATATAAAAAGGTTGTTACCCTTTTTATCAGTAATTTTTGGCCTCGTGAGTTTTTTTTTTTTTTACTTGTGTTGCCACCCCCTGTCGAACTCAACTTGCATACGGCCCCAATCCCTGTTTGATCCCGTCTGTCTAAGATCTAATCACAACGTGGGTAGGCAGACCGGAGATCAGTACAGTTACCCTAGTAACCAGGTGTTGGAAGCGAGTTGGGAACGGCGAGGCTGGTAATCATCTAACCAAAGGGTTGGAACGTCACACTTGGAGCAGCGAGGAGCGAACAGCTGACGCCGCGGCAAAAACGTCACAACTGGTGCTGTCCGTGACAAGGATCGACCCTTGGGCGGCCACATCACGTCACGTCACAGTTGGAGCCGCGAACGAGATCGAACGACAGAGTCGACGCTCCGACCAGGAGGGGCGATGTCACATAAGTAACTAATTCCTTTAATGTGTTATTTTTTAACAGATCCCTTTTGCGTTCATATAAACGTTTTTTTTTTCTAAATTCCTTGAGGTTCGCCTCTGTATTACTGGTGGGAATTAGTACAGGTAATTGAATAAATACCACTTTCAAGTTTTATCTGTTTTTGTTTTGTATTAATTACTATTTTTTGTTTTAGAAGGAGCAACAAATTTTATATTGTTTTTAGATAAATTTATTTCACTTGTTGTAATGAATTTGTAACATATATATATATATATATATATATATATATATATATATATATCGCCTTTGAGTGTTGACTTTATTGTTCACTTTTATATTTATATTTACATACGCTCTATTTCTGATATTGAGTTGTTCCATAATTATGGGCGACATTTTAAATGCACGTATCTTAGATTATAAAAACACATAGAGTAAGAAATATATTCATCACATACAAGATATACAAGAGTTCAACATATCTAAGTTTTTGTTATTGCCTAAACGTATCTGACATCTCTTTTTCTGACTATGGGCCACCATAATGCCTTCGTTTCCAAAACAAATTGCATATGTTCCTGTCCTCATCGTGGTAGTGGCCACCTCTGGGATATAATATTCTAATATTATGAATAAACCTTCGAGGTTGCTATGCTGATAAACAAAAACATCCAACCTCTTCTCCCCTCGCTATGGGCTAATTAGTAAAACTTGTATTACTAAACCATTACTATCTCCCCTAAAAATCCTTACAATCTAAAAATATCCTCCGGTTTTAAATATCCTGTAATGAGTTGATAAGCCAGACAAAACGAAACAAGCAATCAAACATTCAAAATACAAACACACACCCGCGCATACATTCACACACACGCAAACCTGACGACTTTTGACATGCTCTAACTTTGCAAGAGATATCAGTCAGTTATGTGCCATGCGTTATACACGCTTAGGTGATTATGTATCTTTCGATGCATGACTAACGAGACAGATTTTTTGTTTCCCGTAGACGATGACATCACTTTTTGCGCTAGACCACTTATCATCCAAGGCTATAGTACCCAGTCTGTTCTGCTATTTACCCATAGCTGGAGGGAGAAGACGAGGATTCATACGTTTCCCAAGGGTATTAAAACGTTAGTGAATATAATGGATTTGACTGGAATTCGAACCCGGTTTTCGATTCCTCAATCCGAGCAGCTATCCATTACTCCACCGTATCAGACGAAAAATGAAGCTATTCAATAATCACTTTCCAGCCTTTATCAAAAGCATTTACATAGCATAGAGGCTCTTCCACACACACGCAGCATCACAAGACTATCGGCATTTTGTCGTTATTTCTATGGAAAATGTTCAGCATAGCACTATGTTTTTTATACGATATAATATTTCTTTATATATTAAATATTTCGATCTGAAGAGATGAATATATGGATATTCACGAAATAAATTATTACCGATATGAATCTTTAAGGCTTTCTTCATTATTATTATTATTATTATTATTATTATTATTATTATTATGTTCTACAGTTTACATTGAGCTCTTCCTGGATTAATATCATCCTTGGACAGTCACAAATTGGTAATATATATATATATATATATATATATATATATATATATATATATATATATATATATATGGTAATATATATATATATATATATTATCATCCACATACAACAGCTCATCAGTGTGTTTAGACGTCCGATTGCCTCTAGATAGGATAGAAACCCGGCTGAATAGGAGTCAGTCGGAGAATCTATCCCTAAGGGATTGGTGCAGGGCAATAAACACGCCAGAGTGTGAGAACTCGATTCGTTTTATAGAGGAGTATTGCAGTAGTCACTGTTTACAAACTCACACTCAGCCGAAATACTTTTTCAGGAGCATATATATATATATATATATATATATATATATATATATATAAAGAGGGAAAGACGGATAGGGATTTAAATATATGCCAGATCATTTTTTACCTCGCTTTTTCAAACATGCGTAAATTTTTATCCTGTTAAAGTTTGATTTCTTTCTGTGGTATGTATATATATATATATATATATATATATATATATATATGGTCCAATGATATATATATAGATATATATATATATATATTTATTAAAGACATTTTTATGTTTAACGTTCTTTTTTATAGATACAAGTATTTAAGAACGTTAAACATAAAAATGTCTTTAATAAATAAATTGTCAGACTTTGTCCATTTCTTAATATATATATATATATATATATATATATATATATATATATATATATATACACGTCTCTGAAAGGACGATTGCCGATTTCTATATGCCAAAAATGTCTGTTAATATTTTTTTACTTGACTCTATACATAACTCCTTGGAGTTTAATGAAGCATGATGGCTGTAAATATTATTTTCGGTCTATGAAACGTCGAGAGAATTCTCTCGCAAATGAACAATAAGTTTTGAACGGGCGAGATATTAGCATAACAATAACGAAACTCAGGAATATATAACGAAAAACCTACGAGTGTAATAAATGGATATCTATCTACCTATGCTATTATCTATGTCAGTCTTGGCATATCTGAATATATATATATATATATATATATATATATGTGTGTGTGTGTGTGTGTGTGTGTGTGTGTGTGTGTGTTCCCAATTCTTGTATTTACATACATTCTTCCCAGATATTGACCACTTTTCTCCCATAAATATAGCATACATTACAAACTATATTTTATGGTATATATATATATATATATATATATATATATATATATATATATATGTGTGTGTGTGTGTATGTACGTGTGTATTTTTGTATGTATACATATATATATATATATATATATATATATATATATAGCAACGACATGAAATAACAAAATCTTGCGTACATATAGATAGATAGATAGATAGATACACAGAGACTGATAAAGATTGACAGATAGAAAGAGACTGACATAAATAGACAGACAAAAAGAGGCTGGCACAGATAGATAGATAGATAGATAGATAGATTATGTTACCCATTTTTGATTCCCTTCTAGCATAAATGTTGAATAAAAATCCATAAAATATTTTGATGGCTTTTGTCAAATCCTTCGCCATTTTTTTTCCTCTTTAAAATCGTTTACGGATATTGATAGAGAAAACGTTGCATGAAGTGTTATAGAAAAGGCCAATATTTACAATATTGTGCGAACAATTCTATATTCCACGCATGCATATATATGCATATATATATATATATATATATATATATATATATATATATATATATATATATATATATATATATATATATATGAAGGTATGAATAATATGTCAATTTCCCTCTCTTGTTCCTTATTTGTTTACGAACGCCTGGTACACATGGGCGTAACCTTATATATGATCAATATTTATGTGAGCTAATACATAGCTCTACAATGGCTCCAGTAACTTCAAATCTCTCAAAAGGTTTCAGTCACTTCAAAACACCGGGAATACTTCAATAGGGCAAATTCATTGGGTTACGTGTGTGGTTTTTACGACATTTACACGATTACTCCTCCCCTGAGAACTGCTTACATTCATTATTATTGCTGTAAAATTGAAGATCGGGACAAATCTTGGTACCATATATCTGCTGTAAACTCTGTTGCAATGGACTATCTTTATTGTTTCATGACAAGAACACAGTCTTCAACTTTGTTGTTTCATGACAAGAAAACAGTCTTCAACTTTGTAACGATGGTCAGGAGAGAGAGCAACGAAGCCATGTAGATAATTATTATATCTGTCTAAATAATACAGCTGACTTCAATACTTTTTCAAAACAAATAAATATTACAAGATTCCTTCAGCTATGAGGCCCGTTTCTCAGTCAGATGATCCCCCCTGTCGCTATAACCTCAACATACAAAGTTCTTATTCCTTCATCATGCAAAAGGATACAAAAGGATTTGACATGGAGAACAGGTTGTGCTACTGCAGATCTTGTTATCTTAACGAGCATGGGTTGCATTTATTCTCTTCTGACTGTCTGCTGTACTATGTTATATAGGTATGGTATTATCCAACTAATTTAGTGGCGTCAATGTTTTGTCTGTTGTTTTTATATGCCTTTGCAACAGAGAAAATAAACACATTGTAAAAAGTTTTCCAATAACTTGGACTGATTTAAATGTGAATTAAGTTTAAGAGTCTAATGATTTTTTTTCTTTTTCGTTCAGACTGGGTAGAAATTTGGACGATATTATTTTTCACACGTAACGGCCATTAATTACAGAACATGATCCAATATAGATATAAATAAATTTTCACCAAAAACATTGATTTATTTACTTTGATCCGTCGTAATGGAACACCGATTATATATAATCCCTCTTAATGAAACACACTTTATTTTGAATTTATATGAATTTTAATAAAAATGTGATATGTGAGAGCAAAACAACTATAGCTTATAAAGCAAAACTGTTCAGAAATTTGAATCTTCCACGTTAAAATTAGTAAAAAGTAAAATACACATGTTTACAGGCTTGTTACAGAGAAAACATATTTTTTGTAAACCAGTGTAATTTTCTTCTGACATCTGTTTTGTGATTATAAATATTATGATATGTTTTGTGAGTATCACAGGTTTAACCAAACAAGTGGAAACTTTGAGATGATTCGTAAAAAATGGCTCTGCAAGACATCAAACCAATGTGTCATTGTAGTAAACGATTTCTCTTTAATTATGACAAAAATCGAAGCTACAGTGAGTTAGTAAGCTTCTTGGGTTTGCTCTTTTAAAAGACAGCATTCTACAGAGGAGACGCCGGACAAAAATCGTGCTCCAATAAAATAAAAAATAAAAATACTTGACTTATCCGCGCAAGAGATTGATTTTCTTTTCTATAATAATTCATGATGTAGACAGGAGATATTCTTAATAAAATATATTCGGTAAATTCAGTGCTATTTCTGTGGTTCGCATTGTTTTCTTCCTTGTTAGTCTGTTCCTGACACACCAAGATTTGAATCGTGTATTGGTGACATCAAAATCATGCAAGTATCGGAAATTAATTATCTGCCAAATTTAATCGGAGAGTCGAGTTTCCGAAGAATCACCGAAGTTAATCAACATCGTGACTGGTCAGTACCTATATGGATGATCGCTTGGGAATCCCAAGTGCTGTAAACTTGGATGTTCAGGTGATGTAATAGATAATAGCTCGGAATTGTTAATCGCAGAGCCGAATTCATTATATTCACTTACGCGCATATACTCCTGGGGAAGATATAAATCAACCTTTTCGCCCTTAGCTATAGGTTAATTAGTAAGACTTGTATCTGTTATGTGCCGTAACTATGAACACTAATGGGTATGTACCAATCCTCATAATTACGTTGGACAATATTGTAAGTAGGGTTAATATGTTGTCTAAGTAGTCCACCTCTAGCAGTGGTTTAACTACTTCACGCCGCAGATTGACCACAGATTCTCGATTGGATTTAAATCAGGAGAGTTTCCGCGTCAACCTATAGTATTTTGATTTGCTCACTGGTAAGGCTTGCCAATGTGTTCGTGCAGCGTTACTAATTTTCGTATGCTTCCTTGGAGTAACGTTCATTGCAGACAATAAACCAAAAGAAAACTAATCGACAGTCGGGACAACAGTGTCTGGGCGTGATAAAAATCTGATGCAATTACGGATGACGCAATATTTTTCAAGCCCAACCAAATTTCATCATACACCCCGGAAAAAGGATTCATATTACTGCATACCATTGCAAATAACCTAATCTGAGGAAAGAAAAATAGAAATCGATTACAACCTGTCACTTCAGTGAGTTTAAAACTGACCATATGTTTAAAAAAAGGAAACCAAATCGGTTGTTTTTATTAATTTGCACAAAGGTGTATATATTAATTAAATGTGTTAATAATAATTAATGTAATGTTATGTGTATAATTGCCGTAAATTGTTACGAATTTTTATTGGTTTAACTAGTGTAAAATATTGTCGCGAATAAAAAGAGAAAATATCAAAGGTAAGAGAGAAAGAAATAAAAATTAAAAGTAAGAAACAAAAAAACACAAGAACACCGGCAATGTAAAGAAAAGGAAAATAAGAATATGGAATAAGATGAATAAAAAGAAAAAAAAACGGAATAAAAGAAAGGTGAAGAAATAAAGAAAGAAGAAAAAGAAAATGTAGAGGAAGAGATGTAAAAAAAAAAAGAGTAAGACAAGGATGATTAAACACATCGTTTATCTATGATGCGTGCACTTCAGGACGTGAGCGATCATGATTCGGCACTAATCCCCATCTTTTATCACCCTTTATAATATCTCCTAATTCCATTTACAAAGCTTTTTAGGCAGGTTATGTGCGATTTTCCCCAGTTCCTCATGCTTTCAATAAGGCCCGCGACTGTCAGATTTTCTAAGCCCTCTTTTCTCGTTATATGCCCTAGAAATTTCAACCCTTTCAAAGTGTTTTTCATTTCCACTTTCTCTAAAACTCTGTTGATGCTCACATGTTCAATCTATGGTTTTCCTTAACATCATTCTGTAGAACCACATTTCTATTGTCTCAAGTCTCCTTCTGTGATGAGATTGCCCAGCATTCACTGCCATCTATGAGTACTGTTATTATTATTATTATTATTATTTCTTGTCCTTTGTAGCTCTTAATAAAATTTCTCTTTTTGTTATCTCTCCTAATTCCTGTTTTGCCGATCATTTACACAAGCTTGTTAGGTAGGTTATGTGTGACCTTCCCCAGCTCCCCATGATTTCAATAGGGCCTGCGACTGTCAGATTTTCTAAGTCCTCTTTCTTCATTACGTGCCCTAGAAATTTCAACTGTTTCTTTCTAATGTTAAATATAAGCATTCTTTTTGTTTCCATTTTCTCTAAAACTCACGTGTTCAGTCCGTGATCAAAATTAATTAAGGAATAGGCAATCCTAGAGGATTACAATGCATACCAGTATGTGTTATTGGTGAGGACTATCTGAAGAAGATACGCTGATCAAACCATATTGATTGTAGACACAGTAAGGAAACTGAAGTTAATCCAAGACAATGTAGTAAAGCAGACTGCTAAAAAGAGCTAACCACCAATTGTAAAATGACGTGGCCAGATATTTAATCGACAGACATTTGGCCGAACGGATATTTGGCCGAACGGATATTTGGCCGAGAGACATTTGGCCGAACGGATATTTGGCCGAGAGACACTTGGCCGAAGGATATTTGGCCGAGAGACATTTGGCCGAACGGTTATTTGGCTGACGGAGATTTGGCCGAGAGACATTTGGCCGAACGGATATTTGGCCGAGAGACATTTGGCCGAACGGATATTTGGCCGAGCGACATTTGGCCGAACGGATATTTGGCCGAGCAACATTTGGCCGAAGGATATTTGGCCGAGAGACACTTGGCCGAACGGATATTTGGCCGAGAGACATTTGGCCGAACGGATATTTGGCTGACGGAGATTTGGCCGAGAGACAATTGGCCGAACGGATATTTGGCCGAGCGACATTTGGCCGAAGGATATTTGGCCGAGAGACACTTGGCCGAACGGATATTTGGCCGAGAGACATTTGGCCGAACGGATATTTGGCCGAGAGACATTTGGCCGAACGGATATTTGGCCGAGAGATATTTGGCCGTGAGACATTTGGCCGAATGATATTTGGCCGAGAGACATTTGGCCAAAGGATATTTGGCCGAGAGACATTTGGCCGAGAGACATTTGGCCGAAGGATATTTGGCCGTGAGACTTTGGCCGAAAGATATTTGGCTGAGAGACATTTGGCCGAAGGATAATTGGCCGAGAGACATTTGGCCGAAGGATATTTGGCCGAGAGACATTTGGCCGAAAGATATTTGGCCGAACGCATATTTGGCCGAGAGACATTTGGCCGAACGGATATTTGGCCGAACGGATATTTGGCTGACGGATATTTCACCGAAAAACTACAAGTATAAATATATACAAGTATAAATATATGCAATAAGTATTTTAATTAGCTGTATCATAAGGTAGA